GTTTAAAATAAGAAAAAAAAAATGTGCTAGCAAATAAGTTTTGGCAGAGGTGAAGTTTTTTGTTACCTGATAAAATGTTTTGATCTGATAAGTATTATCTATGCTTTGTGTTGTAGCTTAGTTTTGTAAGTGATATCTGGAGTTGTCGTGAGGTCCTTAAGGAATTTGAATGGCTTTAAGCTGCTGGATTCTGAGTATCTTTTGTGATCCTGAGTGTTCTGGGGTTTATACGCTGATAATTGAATTTAGATTTTACCTCATTCCTTTATCATGTTATACTTCCTTATTTGGCTAATTTGAATAAGTGTTCTGCCCGTATAATTTTTGCTTTCTATTCTTTTGTCTGCAGCCTGACACTTCCATTTCTGCATGTCTTCCAGATGATGTATCCACACATTTTTCTCTCCACCACCCTTAATAATGTTTTGTCCTAGAACAGCTGATGAAGCTTAGGATCTGATTCTTTCCAAAATCTCCCACTAATTGTATCTTCTTTATTCCCTCGCTTTGGCTTTTCTAAACTATCTGTTCTATTCCTGCCTGTATCACTTTCCAGAAGAGCAGTAAAACAGTGGAAAGAGAACAATGAGAAAGCTCTCTCGTTTAAAAACCATGCTGTTTGTAAGAGCAGTGTAAAAAGCGCACCTTTACCTGTGTGGCTTTTGAAATATCTGTTGAAAAGCAAGTGAGAATTGTTTCCTGTTGGCCACAACAGGGAGTTTTGTATTTATAATTACTTATATTCCATCCTGAGCTGCAGCACTACTGGTACTGAGCATTTACTGTTGGCTGCATCTGCTGCCTTTTCATCCTTTCCCCCCCCTTTTTTTTTTTTTTAAGAGCAAAGGAAGTATCTTGCTCTAAGCCACAGAAAGGTGAGAGATATTGATATTCTGAGAAATCTTAGTCATTCCTCTAGCAAGATCACCTGGTAATTTTTGTAACATGTAATCATTGTATTCATATATTGCCTGTTATTCATTCATACCAGTCTTATTCCATTTGCAGTCTGCTGGGGCTCACTACAGTAATGTGTCCTGCTGCCCTGCTCTCTGCATGGGGCATGTACAGCTGTGCTCTCAGTGGGCACAGACCTACCCCAGTAAGCTCATTTTTCCCCTCGTGCAGTTGATTTGTTCATATTTTAATAATTACGTCCCTGACTCTGTGTCAGAACTTATTTAATAAGGTTGTGAACAGCAAATGCTTTCTAAGTAACTTTAAGGGAATTACGTTCTGAGTTTACCTTTCCTGACATTTGCTGTGTCTTGGTTTAATATTTCCAAAGCTTTTCCCTGTTTTACATGTAAGTTTGTTGCCTAAACTTCAGCTACGCTTTTGCCTGAAGTCAGGATGGTTAGTTTTGTTCTAGGCTGCAGCTGCTGTTAACATTGTTACCTGAAAACATCACTGCTTTATATGCTGACAATATGTATGATGGTGGTAGTAATCCCAATGCATGTGTAAAGAAAATTGCATGATGAATCTCTTTCATCTTGAATTGTGCTGGAAAATTTCCCGATATTGTGCTGCTGCTAAGCTCAGGGAAATGCCAGTGTAGTTCTTGGAAATGCTGCATCAGTTTCTCTAAGGCAGTTGTGTGTTAACCCCTTCAGTTAAAAATAATTCTTCACTGGTAGTGCAGTACTGGGTAGCAATACTTGTGTACCCCAAAGGAAGGAACATTTACCAGCTGAAGTTTCTTTCTTTAGATGTGCCTGAGCCTTTTAATTTGTGCAACTTGCTGTTACATTCTTAGGTTTGGAACCCCAGGTTTCCAAGCTGAAAGGTGTTTGTGTGCCCATATAATCACACACATCTTCACATGTGGTGCAGTGCTGTTAGAAACACCCACAGGTTGCTGCCACTGGTATTTGTCACTTAAGGAGGAATAGAAATAGATGCTGTTCACCATAACAGGTATAGGACAGTGGAAGTGCAAGCACTGAGCAAACATTTGCATTTTCCATTGCTTCGTACATGGTCACTCGTGTTGCTCCTTAATGTTGCAATAATGGCAGAAAATTATCAATACCATCAGTTAAAAAACCCCAAGAGGCCAGGCTGGAAAGATGAGATGGTGAACACAACACAATAGAGGCGGCAAAGGGAAAATACTTCTGGTGAAGGAAAGTTATTGTTGCTGTTTGTGGGAGCGTGCTGGTGTGGTGTGGAAGACTCACATCAGAAAGGTGCTTTTTCATCACCTTTAAAATTAAGTCTTTTAGAATTACCAGCGCAGTTCGGGTGATACACTGGATGACTTTAATTATGTGTGCTGGTCGAAGCTTGGATACAGTGTACTTATTTCCACCAGTCAGGGTAGCACAGGCAGCTTGGGGATCTTCCTGGCTCGTGACATCCTTGTCAGTCTTGCTGATGTTTCGGTATCGCTGTGTGGGAGGACCAGAGAAATCCCAGAGCTCTGTCCACGTGGGGACTCTGCTAAGCTGGTCTTTTTTTTTTTGATCAAGGTAAATCCTGTACCTACCTCTTCTCATTCTGCCAGATTCCTGTGATAGAATCTCAGTTCTGGTGTTTGCCTTGAGCTTCGTTGTTCTTTACAGGGAGCTCAGGGTTGGGCAGACATGGGACTCGTGGAATATAAGTGTATTAATTGCTGAGCTGCATTTATGTAAGGCATGTTTTTCTCTGAAATGAGAAATTACTGTTGCCATCTGCTGCCTTTGCATGCAGCAGGGCTCTTTCTGGGCTGCAACCACAGAGCCCGAATTAGCAGGTGCGTGGGTTCACCAGTGTTTGTCAGATCTCTCCTGTCTTGAATTGTCATTGACAAGTACCAGCTCTCTGCTCGTTCTTCAGGAGGATATTCATGGTTTTTAACTTGTATACTGTATTTTTTTTCGGATTGTTTACCCTCTCTGCTATCAAGTGTAGCTGGAGTTAGATTAAATCCTTCCTATTATAACCTGAGATCAAGATTTAAGCCTTTTCAGTGGTTTCAGTGTGTATGTATGCTTTGCCCGGTTTGATGTAATTTCTTCTCTGGGCCCATAAGAGATACACAAACCTTCTGTCCCTCACACTGTGCTTATGAATATTTTTTAGTGTGTTCTGCTGCTCAAAACCCTGGAATTTCAGGGTGGTTGCTTTTATGTTCGAGTGAGCCCAAACTTTTGTCTCTGTGTAATGTTATTTGAGGACACTTTTTTGATAGGCATTTCAATCCCAAGAACCCGGCAGCACTCTCTGCTTTGTCTAACTCGCTGTAGTGAAATCTGCCCGAGCCGTATGAATGGAAGAAATCCATGGATCCCAAGCCATGGGTGCGGGCTGCGTCTCCACACGGGTCTTTCCCAGGGGGCAGCGTGTGGTGGGAGCGCAGCGCATCCCCTCGCCCGTCGCGGGCCACCTCCCCCGCGGGCTGTGCCCCCGTTACATCGCCGTGATCACCGATGCGAGGAGCGGGAGGATTCCCGTGAGAGGCGGGAGCGGGGCGGACCCGCCCGGCGCGGCTCCCCCGCGGGCAGCGGAGCTCTCTGAGCCCCGGGGCGCGGGCCGGCGGTGTCTCCCGGCGGGTCGGTGCCGGGACCGCCCCCGGGGCCGGCGGGTTGGTCACTGGCCGCGGGACGCGTCACTCGGGGCGGGCCCGGCCCGGGCGAGCGGCAGCGGGAGGAAGCGGCGGCCGCGCCGCGCCGGGCGGAGGGAGCGGCGCTGGGCGCGGCCCCGGCCATCGATCCGTGCCACTTCCCCTAATGGCCCGTCTCTTCCTCCTCCTCCCCCTCCCCTAGGGCGGATCGTCCCCCGGCCTCCCTGTATGTGAGAGACGGGGCCGGCGCCTCGCACGGAGCCGGGAGCCGCCGCGGGAGCAGCGGAGGCTTCGGGGAGCGCTTCCTGCCCACCGCCCGCACCGCCGGGCGCGGCAGCCCCAGCATGGAAGCCATCGCCAAGTACGACTTCAAAGCCACGGCGGATGACGAGCTGAGCTTCAAGCGGGGAGATGTCCTTAAGGTAGGTGGAGGGTGAGGGCTCGGGAGGTTCCTCTTTACCCCTGGGCTGTTCGGCTGCTCTCTGAGTCTCTTCCTGTCCGTCAGACCTGACGCTCTTGTGGGTCCCCGGGGAGCGCCATCTCCTTTTAATAGGGAGCCTCAAGATCTCCGAAGTCTCAGTCACACCTCTCTAAGAGCAGGAGAAGCCGTTTCATTTCGGTGTTAAGCGTGCGTCCCGGTCTCTAAAGACTCTTCTCTGAGATTGGAATATTTGAAAACTTAGTCATAAACACAATACCGAGCAGCAGTAGAAGATCGTCTCTACACTGAATTCCCCTTATGAGAGGAAGCCCCATAAAATAATCAAGATCAATTTGGTATTCCTCTTCCTTGCCTCCTGCCAAGGATCCCAATATCAAAGAACAGTGATTGGATTATTTCTCGGTAGATAATCTTTTAGCATCAGGCTGTCAAATATTGAAGCTGAGTTTTATCTTCAGTCCTGATGAACTCGAGTGATAAGCTTGTGGCTGAATATTTAATGGATCTGTGCAGATGTAAGTGAATGTTGGAGTGCATTAGAGGAATTTTGGTCTATAGTTCTTTCAATATATCAAAGGCTTTTAGGACTTCATCTTGGCTGTATTGCTGGAATTTGAAAAATATTTGAATTTCTAAAACTTTAATAAAACTGGACACACAGAACAAGCCTAAAATTTTATTTTGGAGGGGGAGTAAAATGCAAAAATCCATAGTGATTTGGCCTCAGTGAAGCAGAGCTCAGGGCTTTGTTGCTTCCAAGGAATAAGACCGTATTGCAGAATGTTTTAATGGAGCTCATTCAGAGCCACTATTCTCTATAAACATTTAAGGTGGTCTTTACCTTCTCAGTGTGATGTCTTTAATATTAAAGTATTTTTAAGCCGCTTTTTTCTAAAATGCTTTGAGTCAAAGCAGTTTTTAGAGGTGCCTCTCTGCAGATGTAACTGTGTGTATGCTGACAAATCAAGTCCTGCAGACCTCAGTGAGATTACTCATCTGCTCAAAATTTTTGCCAAGGAAGGGCTTGATTTTTAACTACTATTTTAAGATAAGTTGGAAAAAATAACCTCTGTGTATAAACTTAATATATGTCTTTGGTAGCTGATATTTCAATAACATAACTGTGGCTTTGTTTAAAGCACGTGACCATCGACAGATAAAGGCTGCAAAAATATATCCTGCTTTGAGACTGCTAACTTATAAAATAATTGCATCTATATACATCCCTGGCCCATATTTGGCCTAAAAGCTCCTGTTAGACCTGGACACCTCACTGCCAGAGTGTGTGTAAATTATCAGAATATTTCCTTTGGTTATTTTAAACATTTGAGGCTGTCAGAATTTTATAAGCCTTCTGTGGTAACCTTGCATTTATTTTTTTTTAACCTGAGCTGTATTCTTCCATTTTGGGTTACTACTAATTGCCCTCAGCTTTTACAGTGTATTTGAAGTAGAGCACAGCTAAAATCAGCTTGTAGAAAATGCTGAACAGGAAGGAAGAATTAAGTATAATAAAGTTTATTTTAAAGTGTCTTCTCAACTCTTTTAGTCTAGTTTGGTGTGGAAGTTTGCTGAAGTACCTGAAAAAACGTCTTCTAAAATTTGCATTTGTTTAGAAATATGTTCTTATCTAAGAATTAAAGGAAATGTAACTTTTTTTAGACTTTTCAAAGTTCAGTCTGTGATAAAAGTCTTGCATCTCTGCACATTGGCTGATAGTAAGATGTTCTGGAGTCCTATCCACTTGATGTTCTCCCATAGGTACAAATTTTGTCACACAAATAGACACAAGGTGATATGTATGCTGTTACACTGCATTTATAACTGTATTTTTCCTGAAATACAGAGGGATTTTCCTACTTTATCCAATACCTAGGCCAAACACGTCTTCACAACATCGATGAACCATTCTTTATTCTGTATTTCCTTTCCTTTCAGCTCATATTCTGAAAATATTTACAAATTTTACATGTTTATTTCTCGTATGCATAAACTGAGTCATAGAAATGGTATATTCTTCAAGATTATCTGTAAGGTCAGTGGAAACTTCAGGAGTTTCAGGAATCCTTCAGCACATAGTTGAGCTGAGTTCTGTGCAGCATGGTCAGAGTCACTGTGTAAAGCTGGCAAATTTCAGACAAATAAACCACAACGAGTTAGAATTGTTACAGTTCACTTCAGTGGCACTTTGTCATTTTGAAAAGTCTGTTTCACTTCAAATGGGTTTGAGGTTGTGGAAATTTTATTTTCGTCAGACATTCCAGATCTATTTGTTGGAGCTCTGCTCCCGACTGAGAAATCTCAGGGTATCCCAGTCATGTGCCCCATGTGATCTCTCTCATTAACCAGGTCAGTCCTCCTGTCCCTGAATGAATTGGGAAGAGAAATAAACTTGTAACATATTGAATGCACCTGCCCCCTTTGCTCTTGAGGTGTCCCTTGGTGTGCAGTGACGACTTTAACTGTGAGATACCTGTCGTGATGCACCCCCCGACAACCACCTTGGTCTGATGGCATATTTGAGGATGGCAAAAGGTTGTTTTGTAGCCTTGGCCACTCTAAGGAAAGAACAAAATCTGGAACAGTGTGATTCCCACTCCTTGGCAGTTCCCGTTCTCTCTGTGGGGAGCGAAGGCAGAGGTGCCCAGCCTGCCTGCTCTGACCTCAGCAGATAACTTGCCTATGATGTCATGTGCCATTACTGCTGCCTACCCACAGATTTGGGACCTGATTGAATAGCACTTGAACTGTAGCCATTAAGCTGGTTGTTAGTAATCTTGTGGCTGGTTTCCAAAAGTGAATGAAGATAGTTGACCTTTGCCTTGCAATTGTAAAACAGCTGAGTGAAGAGGAAAAGTGCTTGGCCTCTTCTTTTTTTTTTTTTTTGTGGGCACTGTGTGGTAAAAGCTGCTCCTGTGATTTCTGTAGCCTGGCAGTACAGTGGGTCCCTCACCCTTCTGTCTCGTGGCTCTGTAGCAGTGTGTGGTACTGCCATTCAGGTGGTGCTCACTGACAGCTTTCTCTAAACCTTAAAGACTCTCAATACTACTACTTGCTGAACCTTTTCCACAGGGAGGTGAGATTGCTGCTTCCTTCTGTGTCTCCTGAGTACAGCAGAGTGCTGCAGCCCTCCAGCTCCGGTCATTTCCTGTGCTGGAGGTTGCTTCACATGAACTTGATGACTGGCACCCTATGGGAGGTTGTGGGGTGTGAAGGTGGCCTGTCCTGTTTATTTAAAAAACTAAAATAAGGAAACTGAGGGATTTCTACTTAAAATTTAGATTTTTGAAGAGTTGATGGTTGCCCTGAAGCTTTTTCACTTCTGCTGTATCTATCGAAGTTGGGAGTAATTAACTTCAGTCTCCGTGTTTGTTATTCAGGTTTTATGTTCCCCAAAACTATTGGCCTTTGTACTATGTGGCAAGTATTCAGATATGAGGTGTGCTGGTGGTTTGGCAGCACCCAGAGGGGGAAAAGGGAAGAAAAATCACTGTTCTTTGTCATCTCATTGCCATTTCTTTTTCCTCTTAAAACTAATCAGAGGTGTACAGTTAATGTCATGGTGCTGTGAAAACCATTTCTGTATGGTTAATGCAGAATTAAATGTATTAATTAGTATCTCAAATACTGGAATAGTTTTGTTTTGTTTTTAAAACTATAAACCACTGCTCCATTTCCTCTTTCTCCTTCTGTCATGGGGTTGGGGCATAGCTGGAAAGTGATCTCCTCAAGAACTGAATAAGTTCCTGTTCCCAGTAGCTGCCAGCATAATTAATTCAGCTTAGAGATTTGTTTTTATGAGTAAAATTACTCAGGTGCTACTTTAAGTAGAAGGCCATCATCTTGAATTTTGAGGTTTTCACTTTTGTGTGACACACAAACCAGCTTCCCTATGTGCTAAAAGAAAGATTTCCTTTGATAGGATTTTGATCACTTGGCAACTTTGTTCAGCAAAGTCAAGATTATTTTTCCTACTCCGACCATACACTTGAACAGTCACCACAGGTTCTGTCCACATGGGTGTTTGTCACCACACTTATTTTCTTTGTCAGCCTTTAAGAGGATTGAGTGTTTGCAAACAGTTGATGCTGAGATGGCATTTTCAGTTCCTGCATGAAAACCTTTTTTGTGTGTCAGGATAGAATGGAACAGTTTCAGATAGAGGGAGGAGTACTATAAATGAGGGGAGCAGTGTGTCCCTTCTGCTCTTTCTCATCCCTTGTCTGTGGCCTCACCCACATTGGCTGTTATGTTCTGTCTGTGCTAGAGAACAGAAATTCATGGCTTGCTGAAGAGTAGTGTGAAGATATTTCCCGTTTTGGGTGAAATTGTCTTCACTCTTTCTCTCCCTTCCTTACACACTCCTCTGTCATTCCCCATTTTTTGTAAGGAGATGGACTCAGTGTGGTCGTGTTGATTTTAATACGTGAGAAGCAGTTTTCTGAATTAATGACTCAGACAAATTGCAAGCACTGTGAGCTTTACAGTGAAATAGGTCAAATATTGGAACAGGTTGCCCAGAAAAGTTGTGGAATCCCCATCCTTGGAGATACCCAGGCAGATCCCTGAGCACTTTGATCTAATTAGACTTGCTTTTAGCAGGAGGGTGGATTGGGTGACTTCCAGAGGCCCTTCCAACCTCGATTATTCTGACTTAGATGTGAGCAGCAGCTCTGCTGTATGTGATGCTTGATTTGTAAAGGTGCTCTTAGGTCGTGTTCCCTGGCTGCCTGCCTTGAATTAAGGTGATATTTGTCATCAATATGTGATCAATATTGCAGTCTAAGAAGGCAAAATTGTCAGAATATTACAAAGAATCATAAAACCAAGTACAGTTATCTTTAAGGTAGCTGATTTGGTGTGCTGGCAGTTGGAGATCTGCGTTACAAAGAAATGCTGCTGTAAGAGGTTGCATTCTTCTGGTCTGCCCAGCTATTCAATGCCTCTGTTTTAGTGCAAACTTCTCAAATATTTTTCCTC